AATGTTTTTTAAACATTTTTACCATTTGTTTAAATACTTCCTTTTTTTGAGTCTTATGTTAAAACATTAAAATATTATCCTATTAATTTGTGTAAAACATAAATAATTTAAAGTTATTAGGACTTGTTATAATAAATTGACATTTTTTTCCGTCAATTTTGCAATGAATCTGTAAGATTACAAAGAAAATATCCAAAATGATCTGTAGTATATTGTAGAATTCAATTAAATTAGCACAGTAGATTCTCACCCATACACCATCCAAAACAGCTGTGTGCACGACTTGTGATCAGAAATTTTCTCGCCTGTGCATCCATCCTTAACTCAAAATTTGCCCCCAATGTTATAGTGAGGTGCAGTCAGCATCGACCACTAAACTTTAATCTAAATAAATTGTAATACATAACACAAATAAAATGAATACTTTTTTTACTGGGCTATTATTTATTTTCACTTTTTGCATTTATAAAGCCGGGGAGGGGGGGGGGAGCGTTACCTAATTATTAAAGGGGTGTTGAATCACACACTACACTTGCGTTACAGGAAAGAGAAGACATATTCAAAACACTCCAAATTTGCATTACATTATTTATGAACGGCCCCTAAATTGATATTCCCTGATCGATTTGAACGAACCCCAGGCTTTGGATGATTTCAAAGGGATATTGTGATTTTTGAGAGTTCTTTAAATGAAGCCTCAAAAAATTTTCAAAATTTTCTTAAAAATTCGTCCAATTTTTTTTATTACACTTTATCCTCGGTTAGCATAAAGAACGCTTAAGAGAATACAGGTATTATGTTCATGGATATACCCAATTTTTCAAAAATTGTTAAAGTGCATTTTTTCTTGTCTTCCTACAACTACAACTCTGGCAAAAACAGGTTAGAAGAACAATTTGGGAGCATTTCCAAGAAATTTTTGAAAATGATGTTGAGGCTTCATGCAAAGTACTCCCAGAAAACAAAATATCCATTTCAAACCTACAGGACCTCAAGTTCCTTCAGATCAATGGGGAATATCAATTTTGGAGAACATCATCAGACTGGTTTAAGCTCTAGTATTGACAACAGAATGTTTTGCCACCGATCGAAATTTCGGTGTCAAGGACCCACAAAACATTGATTCTGATTGTATGTGTTTGAGGAAGTAATTTACATGTAAATAGGAACAAGATTTATCCATTTTCCATTATATGGGCCCAGTAATAAGAATTGTCTGTTGAATAATCAGTGTTTTCCCTCCAATTATTTTCTCTATACCGCGTAAGCCAGTACATAAGGAAGTAAAAATTGGACACAATTTAGAGAAATTTTTGCATATGACCCAGGAGCTTCATGTGAAGTGTCCCTAAAATTCAAAGAAATCTATTAAGCCACAGTTCTTTCAGGCAAGCCAGATTGATCAAAGAATACTCATTTTGAAAAACATTGAATGAATGTTAGAGTGCGAGTATTGTTCACAGATGGGTATGGTAAGATGTATTATTTTATTTTGTACCACTTTATACTAAATGTACTACTTTATTTTACTTTGCACATCTTTGACCACCTTCCCCAGTAAGATCTTAACCTTTGGCAGTCTGTACTATTCGAATAAGGTATTATAGCATTTATCACTATAATAACTGAAATAATTCAAAGATAAACTAAAAGGAAACAAATAATAATAAAAGAATACACTATAACAGATTTATTTTTTACTATAATGCAACAGAAGGGATGTTGACAGTAGAATATGAGATTTCTGCTTTCCTTTTGCTAAAGTACTCAGAATGTGATTTCAGATAGATATTTCATGATGACAAGGTGTTTCTGTGTGCAATTGAATGCTGCTTTGATTTCCCTGCACATGTGATGAGTTTCCTGTCCTTTCAGTAATCAGTGACCCTGAATAAACAGAACCCGAATATACCATTCAAATAAAACACACAAACTTTTGCTGTTTAGCGATCATTTTCTTACTAAATAATGATGTTATTTTATCATTGACATGAATTATTGTGCAAACTGACACAGCCCACGGATTACTCATAATAAATGTCAAAAATGATTGCAAAAACCAAGAAAACCTTTTTATTTTCATTGACTGTGTAAGTTAGAAATCAGACTGACTGAAAAATAGGAAGAACACTTTAAGAAGTAAATGTAACACAAATACTGTTAACTGCAAAAATATATTTGTAACTTTAGATTATTTGTGAGTATTTATTCAGCTTCAAAATCCATAATAGGAGAGACATGTGGAAGTACGACGAGTAACATTGGTGACAATTAAGTCCATACACACATGTCTAGCGCTTAACTTTTCATTTTGTAACACTGAGCACTACACAAACCTACCTGAACAATAACTGTTCTTCACAGACCGACACACACTTATAACATATTTATGTTTACTCTGGTCATATATTTCATAGTCTTTCACACTAAGAGAATGTAAATTGTAACTGAAATGATTTTTATCTTGAACCTACAATAACAGAATTAGGACATTAGAAATAAGTTCATGTCATCAAGTCATTACAAGTAGTGATTTTGATTAATTTTATTTTCTATAAATTGAAGAAGAAAAAAACGAAAAGAAAAAAGAAAAATTATACTTACAAAGCAATTTAACAGTTTATTTACGCACGCAAGGGGAGTTTCTAAATCAAAAGAAAGTAAAGACTTAGATTCATCTTTCAATTTCAATTTTCCAAGCAGCAAACCAGCATTACACAGCAATTCAATCTTCACATGCTCTGAAAAAAGAATTACAGAGTCAACAATAAAAAGAACACCCCCCTCATTTAAATTATTTTACATGATCATGCATTGTTAATTTCAAATTAAAAAAAGTACAAAATAATGGTTGAAAAATAAAAAGTACATAGTTAAACATAACAGAAATGTAACTTACATTTGTAATTAGAAATAGGGTTGAATAACTTCCAATACTCACCAAACAAAAGAACAATATACAAACAATTATATAGAGCTTAATTGCAATTTGTAGTAATTATTATTGTAATTAATTACTATTATTGATGTTCCTATTACTATTATTTTATAGAATATTAAGATTATTTACATAGGAGGAATTTACTTCATTGTCGTGCAAAAGTGTCAACAGAACAATGATGACAATTCACACAGTCATAACAAAAGTAATAGAAAAGAATTTTATCTTACTTTTTTTTGAGCCATATTCCAAACGCAGGTCAATACGATTAAATCTTTCTCTGCTTGCATACCCAAGAATATGGGCTTTGTTCTCTGAATCAACCATACAGATTGCAATATCACTGACATTTCCACAAACTGATGTACCAACTGTGCCCCCACAAACATTTACATAAAATCGACTACCCCTGCTATTAGTTGTATTGTAATATAACAACTGTCGCAGAGGCTGAAAATTAAATTCACCCATTACTTCACTTTTGAAAATGCAATTTTTGTATTTATTCAAATTATTAACACTGCAGGCTGCTACAGTCTCCCACTCCACAACCAGTTGATCAGATTTAAATGCTTCAAATTTTGGAACTCCAATCTGAAAACAGTACACATTTTACATTTCATTACAACTCGCTAAAAGTCTAATTTCAGACCTTTTCTTTATTTACCTCGCTAGAACATTTAAATCTTAATTCAAGCTTTAGTTCCCCTGAACTGCTAGAATCCATTCTCCTCAGAACTGTAGAAAGCCTGATATCTTCATTTCCCATATCCCCTTGAACTGCAAATTCAAAACAGAATTTACACTTCCAATCACAATCCTTTTCGTGTTTGCTTGCAGTAAAGAAGTAATTGCAGATAACTTTTCTAGCACAAAACATTAAGCCTATGGATATGCAAAGCCTGTATTCATTGCACACACAAAACATGATATTTTTTTTAAGAATATGAAGAAAAAACAATGATATACTGAATAAGTATTTACAATTTTTTTAAAAGAAAATCATGAATAATAAATCTCAATTGATATGAATAACTTTTTCTTACCATATAAATCACTTTTTGAGCTAGACCATTTGGAACTGTCTTTCATAACTACACAGAAACTAAACATACCACAAGGTTTTAAATAAGTTTTGTTACAGACTGAAAATAAGATATAACTCAGATTTGCATCATGAATGTCAGAAACATTCCAATGTGTCAAAGATAGCCTGAAAAGAAAGGTACACATTTTATTAATCCTAACTAATAACAAGCAGCAGTTTAAATTAATGAGTGTATTTTATTACCCATTGAAATCAAAAAATTGAGATTGGTATTCAAATTTGCAGTTCACAAGTTCATTTGATAATCCCAATGGTACAACCAATATAAATATCTGTACAGTAATCCAAACTACACATAATGGTTTCTTCCATGAATATGGAATGTCACATGTCATCATTTTGAAAAGAAAACAATGGTTAAGAATCACACACAAGTGACAGGCCACTAGGAAAATTACACACGCACACGTTAAACATTGTACAATTCTTCAAACATTAATGTAACATTTGCGCGCACGAGCCATTTTCGGCACTTTGAAACTGAAACAGTGACATAACATAAGGCTGTCAAATTGACCAAATGACATGCTCTTCTTTGTAGATATTTAAGGTGTAATTCTACAACCCCATGCTCAGGGTTGATTGTCAACCACAATCCATCGCAATCACAAATCACGAATCAAACAGTAATTCACCTAAGACAAACGTGGTGTTACATTTTGCCGGTAACAATCCGTAGCGCAAATCTGAAAGAACGTCACGCACAGAAGAACCAATCATAACCCAGGCCTAGCCCCAAACGCTGTTCTTTTCTTTTGTACGTATTGCCACGTCTCTAGTTGTTACAAACAGGGTTACAAACTTGGAACAAAAACCTTCCTTAATAATATACTAATTTAATTGAAAAATAATATACTAATTAATAAAAAAGATGATGAAATCAAACGTACATGAAACGAAGACAAACCAACAGCTCACTCCAAAGGCTAGTCGATTGTAATATTATTTCTTTGTAGAACCGAAGTATTGCACAAAAATTAAAACAATTAAAGGTTGCACGATACGTAAGAATAAATGACCAAGTTATATAGTTGGCTTGTTTTTCGTATAAATTGCTGCAAATAAGAAAAATACGTAATATTGTTTATAATAAAAGTGCACTAGCATTTTCTTTCAGTACGTAGTAGTATTTTTTGGGTTTCTTGATTACCATGCATTGGCAATACTTCGGGTATTCCCAGTTTCCTACGTCAATCATTGCTCGGGAGTTGTTCCAAGAATGTGCACTCTAGATCAATTTGTAAAAACTGAAAGATCAAAGTGTTCAGAAATAACATATAACTAAGTAATTCAAAATATCAAAGTGATTAGAAATAACATAGCTAAATAATTGTATGAATTAAAATTAAATACTGACGAAGCTGTGTTAAGGGGGTTAGAGCGAGATATTAAATTACACTGAAACACATTAAATTACACATGCGTGCAATCTCTTTACAGAGATTAAGACAAAAAAGAAAGAAATAGATAAGTTAAAGACCATCACTAAGTCACACTGTTATACTGTTCATCCGTGCATACTAGTTCATTGACCTTTTTTTTTTTTTTTTTTTTTTTTTTTTTTTTTTTTTTTTTTTTTTTTTTTTTTTTTTTTTTTACGTGTATCGATCGCAGACGAATCCGTTTCCCCTGGGTCGTGAAAAGTTTTCATTTTGCACTGCGGATAATGAAAACCATGCACAGCGGACCTCGTGGCCACGTGAGGCTTCGCGTAGCCTGTCGACATCCAGCTTTGTTACATATTGCCTCTGTAGGGTAGAACTTTGGGCATATTTCCTCTTTTTCCTGTTCATGCTTTGTAAGAGTGATTCCGCTACCGTGGTATTTGGTAGGAGGAGGGTATTTGCTTGGAGTTTGGTTGCAGTCTGAGCTCCTCCACCAAGAATGCTTTTTGAGAAAGTACATATGCCAATCTCGATCTCGTTCTTTTAGATATGCCCAATGCTCGTTTTAGAAACGTGGCTTTCACTTTTTCCAAGTCTTATAAATTTCCTATTGTAAGCTTTCCCCAGATGATATCAAAACCGTAAATATGGCTGGTAAGACTTTTGCCAAAAAAAGCTTCATTGCCGTGTTCATGACCAAGAGCCTAATAAATTTGATTTTTTTGATAGCGATCATTGCTTAAGAGGTTTTTTCTGTAAAGTTTGGTGAAGCTTCTATCACTTTTTTGTAGTGTCATCCCTAAGTATTTGAAATGAGGGACTGCGTCTATCTTATTACCATCAACTGTAAATGCGTTATGAGTGGATTTCCCTCCATCTCTCAAAATCATAGATTTTGTCTTGGTGTTAATCTCAAAGTTTCGGGTTTTGTACCACTTTTCCATTTCCTCAATGGCTTCTTATAAAGTGTTCATTTCCTCTGAGCATATTATGTCGTCAGCATATGCGTATACAGTTACTCCCTTGTTTCTTGCTATGTCGATCAGGTCTGTAGTTGCGAGTGGGAATAGCAATGGACTTAATGGGTCACCCTGAAGCACTCCGTTTGTTTGGATAATTGAGTATGATAAAGTTAGACCGTCGTCTACGCTCATCACGTTGTATCTCAGTATGGAACTTATAAGTCTTGTCTATGCGTTGTGTGCCAAGTACTGTTCTGAGTTTGTCCATAACCCATTGTCCGTTGGTGTAGTCGAACGCTTTTACAAATCGAGAAAAATGATATACAGTTTACCCTTTTTTCTTCTTTGTGGCATTCTCTGTGTCATTCATTAGTAGGCTTATTGCTGTAGTGGTTGATTGGTTTTTGCGGAAGCCAAGTTCGTCTCTTAAGTTGGCGTCTAGTTTTTCGGATATTCACTACGTGATCATTTTGGAAAGTAGTTTGAATGGGGCACATTCTAGTGCGATACCTCTATAAGCAATAGTATCCTAGCCGTTACCCTTCCGCCTTGATGGTTCATTCTCTCCATTTTTGGGAATGTCACCTATTTCTGCGTGTTTGTTAAAAATATTTGCCTACAGTTCGCATAGTATCGTTACTGATTTGATAAGGTGTTCATTATAAATGTAGTGTGAGCCTGCTGCTTTATTGATTTTGAGTGATAATTTCGCCTTCTTTACTTCCTCCTGTGAGAAGGGGACCCAGGGATCAATTGGCGTTGTTAAACCTTTTGGTGCAGGGATGTGTTGTTTTTCCCATTGGTCTAGTATGTTTTTGAAATGAACCTCCCCATTTCTTCATTGCTTTGTATTTATTTTGTACCTTATATTTAGTTTGCAAGGCAATGTATGGGTTTATTTTTACTTCTTCCAATTGTTTCCCTTTTTTTCTCTGAACCTTCATTCTGAGACTTGTATTTCTTTTTAACATTGAAGTAGCCATTGATATATACTCTCTGGAAGTAGCCTTTTTCCTTGCCCTGTTCTGGTTGTTGCTTATGAGCATGCAGCGCGTTCAGCACTTTTCTCCGTTTCACATAACATTTTGCGTCGAACCATTTCTGTGCGAATTTCCCTCTTGGTTTTGTACTTTCTGTTGCCTTGCCCATTATTTTCTAGAGCGAGATATTCCCTAGTATATAGAGAGTCCATATTACGTTCAAAATATTTATTTACGAGATAAGTGGGTATTTTGAAACCTACGTAAACAAAATAGATACTCTTATGCTGGGTTTTATTTAATTATTCTAATAAATTTCGTTTCATATATGGAAAATAAAAATATTTCAATATTACATAAAGACCTGCCGTTGACTAGTTTCACAATTACCAGCAGATCGCGTCGTCAATGAAAAATTGAGACATAAGATTGAACATAAAGAGCACCATTTCACAATTAGTACATGTACACAATCCATATATTTTTGTATAGTGATAGCTAATAATGGCAAACATTTCCACGATTGAGTAGGGCGAAAACTTTGGTAAATTGGGCAACACCGTAATGTCCGTGAGGTTGGCATTTCCAGAATAAGGAATAAATGGCATGTCTTCTCAGGACTCATGCTTCTTCAAAGTTTCGTTGTTTTCAATCACTTAGAATACTGTTCGTTGCCTGTTCGACACTATCTGAGCGATTTGGCGGAAGATTTATTTCCAAAGCGGAATTTGAGAGAAGGTGAAATAATTTTTCCAGTATCACGAGAACAGTGACATAATAAAAAGTTTCCAAATACTTTTCAATGTTTGTTTATCTCTCATTTTTATTTCTTGAATAACCTAAGCCGATTTTAGCTTAAATTTTAGATTATTCGATTGCTTAAGGCTAAATGTCCCGACATTAGTACAATTTGTAGCCACCACGTGGCTGCACCAAAATAAGTAAAATTTACTTTACCGATAACGTCTG